GCTAAAGAAGCTGTGGTACATATATACAATGGAATATTACCCAGCCATGAGAAGAGATGAAATACTGCCATTTGTGACAACATGGATAGTCATGCTAAGTGCAATAAGCCAGACAGAAAAAGTTGAAAATCACATGATATCACTTATATGTGGGATATAAACTTAAAAGTAACAAATGAGCAGGACAAACAGAGACTCATGGACATGGACTATAGGCCAGTGGTTACCAGAGGACTACAGACTAGTGGTTAGTAGTGGGGTGGGGGAGGAAGAGGGTGGTAGACGGGGTAAAAGGGGTCAAATATGGGAGGGAGGCGGAGCGTGAAGTGGGTAAAGAGGATCAAATATATGGTAGCTGAAGGAAACTGGACTTTGGATGGTAAACACACAATAGAATATACAGATAGCAAATGATAATGTATACCTGAAAATTATAAATTGTATTAACCAATGTTACCCCAATAAACTTAATTAAAATAAATAAAATAAATAAATACATAAATGAATAAATCTGCACATAAAATAAAAAAAATAAAATATAAAAGTGAATTTTAAAGAAGTTAAAAAAAAAGGCATTTAAAAATATGTAGATTGATGGGACTACAATACCTGTATTCAAAGTAGCAATCACTTTCCAGAAATGCTGGAAGTCTTTCCTTTTTGATCCATTGAATACCTTGTTCACGACTGAGACACTATTAGAAAACAAATGAAAAAGAATGTCAAAGAAAAATCACCTTTTAGGACAATTAGGACCTAATCACCAGAGCAATAATGACTTCCAGCTATTACTAGGATCCCTGCCTCTACCTTCTATTTCCATAAGAGCAAGGACCCTGAGTCACAAATTTGAAGCCATTCCTTGCCTTGTGGTGCTTCTTTAATTCTCTCAACAACCCTGTATCAACTATTATCTCCATTTACAGATTAACAAACTAAATCCAGAACAATTAAATAACTATTGAAGGAGAAGAAATGACAGAAGAGTCAGTCAACCTCAGTATTTTCATAGTCATAAAATGGGTTAAAAATGATCACAAACAGTAAAAGAGCTAACCAGAAAATTTGGAGAGGCCACAATGGTAACTTAAGTCCCCTTGTCCTTCCAATTTTAGAAAATTTTGTTAAATATTTACATCCCCAGGCACTATCCTGGAGATACAAAGGTAAACAAGAAAGATAAGACCCTGTCCTTAAGGAGTTTATAGATAATTCAAATAGGTAATAATAGTAGTGTTCTGTAAGGGCCATAAGTTTAGGCTTCTATGGGAGGTCACATAGGCACTAAAACAGCAAAGGTTTCCCACAGAACATGCTACTCTTTGACCTAAGCATGATTGGCTCGATTGAAGACGAGAGCAGGAGAGGAAACAAAGATAAGTTCAGAATAACTACATCACAGGAAGAGATTTGAGGGATGGCGGAAGGAAGGCTGGATAAGTAGGCAGGAGCCTGATTATGAATAGTCTTTCAAATAACATTAAAGAGTTCAGATTTTATCTTGAGATTGTGAGTGCCATACAATATTATGGAAGACTTACTAGGTTGCTATTCATCCTAAAACTCACTGTTGATTCTATTTTGTTTTATATTTACTTTTCAAGATGAGTAACTTGGACACTAAACAAATGCTACTTGTAAGTAAAACAACCAATAAAGTACATGTCTCAGTGAGGCAATGTCTGCATTTATGTGGCTTCCATTTGTTATCCATAAAGCAACAGTTTTGCTGTGATAGTAACATCAGAGTCAACACGATGACTGCTAATTGTAGCCAGGAAACTGAAGGCTCACAGAGCAGTGCTACCAACATTTGATAAGCTGATGTTTTTCAAGGTACACCCATGCTCGACATTGCTGGCGCGTGGCACAAAGGCTACCCAGGATTGGAAAACAGAACACATAATAGTTTCTTCCTGTTCAGTCAAAAAAAAAAAACCAAAAACCAAAAAACAAAAAACCCATTTGCCTTCACCAAAACTATCTTCGGAGTACTGAAATTATAGAAGAAACTTTGGAAATAGCTAGCGCCTGAAAGGTAGCATCTTGTTGACTGTCTCATTACTTATCAGTGAGAAATGAAGGACATTTAGATCTTGTAGTTAGAAAGACTCTACACATGCCTGTGTATGCTACATGCTGACAACCATACAGGACTCTTGAATTCTCATTAGCAGTGCATTCAGTGTATCACAGAAAGACTTCGAACTATGTGTAAAGATCAAGATAAACCCTCGAGGAATTCCACAAGGTTGTCAGACTAGTTGGTTCATACAAAATCAATTTGCATAATGTTTACCTAATGAATACTTCACCTACAACTCATCCCTTTTTGAATGTTTTTGCATCTATTTGACCTAAAAATTAAATAAAATGAAAATTTTAAAAAGAATAAAATAAAAATTGAAGTCTTTAGTCGAACTGCCAAAAAACTCCTTCAACATATTTATAAGTAACTAAGATACAGAAAAGACCAAAAAGACATAAAACAATCCTGCCAACCATAAAATGACAACTTAATACTTACAAGAAACACAAAAATAATTTACCTTAGGTAAAATTATTTAATCTTTAAGAGTAAAAAAAAAAAAATTGGTGAAGAAACAAAAAGATAACCAGAAGGTTAGGGAAAACTGGCTGTAGGTAAAGCATTCTAGAACTAGTTCCAAAGAGCCATACACAAGCTCTCTAAAATGCCTCCAGGATTAGATTAATAACAATGATATTTATAGGTACAAGGCAACCAAATAAAGCATGGCTATCTCCCAATAGATTATTTTGTTTAATAAGATTTACTGAAGTATAAATTATATACAGTAAAATTCATCCTTTTTAGTATAGAGTTCTATAAGTCTTGACAAACACATACAGTCATGTAACCATGACTATAACCAAAATATAGAATAGTTTCAACATTCCCCAAACTTACTCAGGCCAATTTGCAGTCAATTACTCCCTTTAACCCTAGGCTCTAGCGACCACTGATTTGTTCACCTCTGTCATTTTGCTTTTTCCAGAATGTCATATAAATGAAATCAATATAGTATATAGCCTTTGACACTGGATTCTTTCAATTAGCATAACGCATTTGAGGTTGATCTGTGATCTTCCATGGATTACTAGTTCATTCCTCTATATTGCTCAGTAGTACTCCATTGTATAGATGAACCATAGTTTATTTAATTATTCCTCAGTGAAAAGAAATTTGGGTTGCTTCTAGCTTTTGGTGATTCTAAATATAAAGCAACTATAGACATTTGCATACAGTTTTTGTGGGAGCATAACTGTTCGATCCTCTTGGGTAATCTATAGGAGTACGATAGATGAATAATATAGTATATGTTTAACTTAGAACTGCCAAACTGTTTTCCAAAATGGAATTTTCACCAACAATGTAAGAGTTCTAGTTGATCTGCATTCTGGCTAGCATATGGTATTATCAATGTTTGTTTGTTCCTAATTTTACTCACTCTAATAGTTGTATTGAAATAACTATGATTTGTGTGTATGTACATTATCTTTTTTAATAAAAGCTTTATTGAGATATAATTCACATTCCATACAATTCACCCATCCAAATTGTATAATCCAATGGTTTTTACAATATTCACAAACTATCACCACAAATGTAGAACATTTTCAATACCCTCCCCCAAACCCACACTCATTAGTGGTCACTCTCTATCTCACTCCAACTCCCTTATCCTCCCACCCCTCAATGTTGATTCACTTCCCTATGGCTAAAGATTATGAACATCTTTTCATATACACATTGGTCATCTGTGCATCTTCTTTGGAAAAAATGTCTATTCAGATCCTTTGTCCATTTTTCAATGGGTTGTCTTTTTATCATTCAGTTGTAAGAGTTCTTTAAGCAGTCTAGACACAAGTCTTTACTGGATATGTGATTTGCAAATATTTTCTCCTGTTCTGTGAGTTGTCTTTTTACTTTCCTGGCAGTATCTTTTGAAGCATAAAATTTTCATTTTGATTTGTCCTTTTTTTCCATTTTGTTACTTATGCTTTTTGTGTCATATCTAAAAAAACCAATGCCTACACCAAGTTTTAAAGATTTATGCTTATTTTCTTCTAAAATGTTATTTTTATTTATTTATTTATTTATTTTGCATTGCTGGATTCAATTTGCTTTATTTTTGATGATTTTTATGTCTATGTTCATGAGAGATATTAGTTTGTAGGTTCTTCTTTTCCTTGAAATTTCATTATCTAGCATTGGTATCAGGATAATGCTGGTATCACAAAATGAGTTGGGAATTGATCCTCTTCTTTCAATTTTTAGTAAAGTTTTTTTATAAATTTAGTATTATTTCATCTCTAAATGTCTGATAGAATTCACCAGGGAAATCATGTAGACCTGGAGTTTTCTTTGTGGGAATATATTTTTTAAGACTTATTTTTTAGAGCTGTTTTGAGTTTACAACAAAATTGAGAGGGAAATACAGAGATTTCCATATATTCCCCACATATGCATAGCCTGCCCCATTATCAACATCACTCACTAAAATGGTACAGTTTTTACTAAGGATGAACCTTCACTGACACATCATAATCACCCCAAATCCATAGTTTACCTCAGGGTTCACTCTTGGTGTTGTACATTTTATGGTTTTGGACAAATGTATAATGACATACCTCCACTATTATAATATCATACAAAGTATTTTCACTGCTCTAAAAAAATCCCCTGTGCACTGCCTGTTCACCTCCCACCCCCTTTACCCCTAGCAACCACTGATCTTTTTATTGTATCCATAGTTTCCCTCTTCCAGAATGTCATATAGTTGGAATCATACAGTGTATAGCTTTTTTCAGATTGGCTGCTTTTACTTAGTAATATGTATTTAAGGTTCCTCCACATCTTTTTATGGCTTGAAAGTTCACTTCCTCTTACCACTCAATAATATTCGATTGTCTGAATGTACAGTTTATTTAACCATTCACCTATTGAAGGCCATCCTAGCAGCTTCCAAACTTTGGCAATTAGGAATAAAGCTGCTGTAAACATCCATGTACAGGTCTTTGTGTAGACATAAATTTTTAACTCCTTTGGGTAAACACCAGGGAGCATGATTGCTGGATCATATGGTAAGAGTACGTTTAGTTTTATAAGAAAATATCAAACTGTCTTCCGAAGTGACTACCATTTTGCATTCCTACCAGCAGTGTATATGGTTTCCTGTTGCTCTACATCTTCATTAACATTTGGTGTTTTCAGTGTTCTGGATTTTGGTCATTCTAATAGGTGTATAGTGGTATCTCACTGTTGTTTAAATTTGCATTTCCTTGATGACATATGCTATGGATCATCTTTTATATGCTTATTTGCCATCTCAATATCTTCTTTAGTAAGGCATCTGTTAAGGTCTTTGGCCCATCTTTTCAATTGGGTTGTTTGTTGAGATTTAAGAGATTTTTGTGTATTTTGGATAACAGTCCTTTACCAGCTGAGTCTTTGTAAATATTTTCTTCAAGTTTATGGCTTGTCTTCTAATTCTCCTGAGATTGTCCTTTGCAGAGTAGTAATTTTTAATTTTAATAAAGTCTAGCTTATTAATGACTTCTTTTATGGATCATGTCTTTGGTATTGTATCTAAAAAGTTATCACTTTTTAGTAATAGGTCATCTAGGTTTTCTCCTATGTTATCATTTAAGAATTTTATAGTTTCATGTTTTACATTTAGAACTATAATCCATTTTGAGTTAATTTTTGTGAAGGGTATGAAGTCTGTGTCTAGATTTTTTTTTTTTTTTTTTTACATGTGGATGTCTAGTTGTTCCAGCACCATTTTCTGAAGAGATTATGTTTGCTCCACTGTATTGCCTTTGCTACTTTGTCAAAGATCAGTTGACTATATTTATGGGAGGCTATTTCTGGGCTCTCTATTCTGTTCCATTTATCTATTTGTGTATTTTTTCATCAATACCACACTATCTTGATAAGTGCAGCTTTATAGTAAGTCTTTAAGTTACGTACCATCTGTCCTCCAACTATTTGGCCTCTCCACATAAACTTTAGAATTAGTTTGTCAATATCCATAAAATAACTTGCTGGAATTTTGATTGGGATTGCACTGAATATATAGATCAAGTCAGGAAGAAGTGACATCTTGATTATATTGAGTCTCCTATCTATGAACATGGAATACACATTTATTTAGCTCATTGATTTCGTTCATCAGAGTTTTATAGTTTTCCTCATATAGATCTTGTACACATTTTGTTAGATTTATGCCTAAGTATTTCATTGGGAGGGTACTAATGGTATTACATTTATTATGGTAAGTGGTATTATGATAAATGGCAATGGATTTTAAATTTCAAATTTAAATTTGTTAGTATTTGGAAAAGCAATTGACATCTGTATATTAACTTTGTATCCTGCAATCTTGCTATACTTGCTTATTAGTTCCAGGAGGGATTTTTGTTGTTGTTGATGTTAATTCTTTCGGATTTTCTATGTAGAAGATCCTGTCATCTGTGAAAAAGGCAGTTTTCTTTGTCTTTCTTCCTATTCATATATCTTTATTTCTTTTTCTTTTATTGCATTAGCAAAGACTTCCATTCAATGCTAAAAATGAAGACTGGGCAAAATGGAGTAGATGATAGAAGCTTCATTCATCCCCTCTTGTGACCACATTGACAACATCAAAGTTGTGACACAAACATGGAGCAAACAGCAAGCAGAGTCACCTGGGGTCTAGACGAACAGAAACTCTACAACTAAGGAGAGAAATAAGAAATCGCCCTGCAATGGTAGGAGCTGGGAGGGGATGAAGACACGAGGCTGCCCGGTCCCCAGCAGCTGAGTGGGACAAAGGCTATGGCAGCGGCAGCTGGCAGCTGTAGATGCCTCTTAAAGGGACCATGTTTCACAGTGATGGACCTGCTCATTCTGAGCAACAATGCTGCTCAGAGTGCACCAGGGACTTACAGGGGGACACTGAGTTGATGGAGCAAGGGCTAGAGTCCTGCCCCCATCCCAGTGTGCAGACATAGAGCTGCTATAGTCAAAACGTCATCGAACAGGATAACAGAGGTCACTCTGCCCAGAGGATTCTCTGAAACTCTGCCTTCCCCAGCTCATGGCCCCACCCAAGCCACATCCAGGTGTGTCCTCGGGGAGTCCTATGCAACTTGCTGAGCAGCTTCAAGGCTCACACTGGTAGCAGCTGACCTCGGTTTCTGGAGTGACCTCATGAGGCAACTATAAGCACAGCATCTGTGGATTACTTGCTGAATCTTATTAACAGGTGACTCCAGAGGGGCACAGGCTGGGGCTAAACTTGAACCCTCTCAGGTCTGTGCTGCTGGTCACCCACTACACAAAACCACACCAATAAGACCAGGAGACTTAGGAATTTTAATTAGTACCCAGAAACAGACAGAAAGGCAGCCAAAATGGGAAGACAAAGAAGCAGAAACCATACGAGAGAACAGAACAGAGATCCAGGAATAAGGGAGTCAAGCAATCTAACAGATGCAGAGTTCAAAACACTGGTTATAAAGATGCTCAATGAAATTAAGGGAAGTGTAGATGAACTCAGTGAGAACTTTAACAGAGATTAAAAAACATAAAAATGGAAAAGGAATTTATAAAATGGAACCAGTCAGAAGTAAAGAATACATTACCTGAGATGCAGAGTTTACTAGAGGAAATCAACAGAGTGGATGAAGAAGAGGATTGAACCACCAATATAGAGGATTGTGAAGCCAAGGGTACCCAATCAGATCAGCAAGAAAAAAGGAACCAAGACTATAATAATAATTTAAGAAGTCTATGGGACAAAATTAAGGGTAACAACATCCATGTCATAGGGGTACCTAAAGAGGGAGAATAAGAAGCTGAAAATATATTTGAAGAAATAATGATGGAAAACTTCCCTAACCTGGTGAAGGAAATAGAACTACAACCCCAGGAAGCTCAGAGAGTCCCCTCCCCCTAAAAAATGAACCCAAAGAGGCCTACATCAAGACATATCATGATTAAAATGCTAAAGGTTAAATACAAAGAGAGAATCTTAAAAGCAGCAAGAGAAAAGCAATTAGTTACCTACAAGGGAGCACCCATAAGACTGGCAGCTGATTTCTCAAAAGAAACCAAGCAGGACAGAAGGGTTTGGCACAAAATATTCAACATGATGAAAACCCAAGATCTACAACCAAGAATTCTTTGTCCAGCAAAGCTATCATTTAGAGTCAAAGGACAGATAAAGAACTTCCCAGACAAAAATTAACTAAAAGAATTCACCAATATCAAGCCAGCATTACAGTAAATGTTGGAGGGACTTCTTAAAGAAGAAAAAACATGTATCAAAAACAGGAATAAAGAATGGTAATAACTACATATCTATCAACCAAGTACCTCAAATGGAAAAGAATTAAGTACTCCAACCAAAAGATAGGGAGGCTGAATGAATAAGAAAACGAGACCCCTACATATGCTGCCTCTACAAGAGACTCACCTCAGATTAGAAGACACACACGGACTAAAAGGAAATGGGTGGAAAAAGATATTGCCTTGACAGTCCTAGAGGGTATTGCACTGAATGAAGTAAGTCAGATAAAGAAAGACAAATGCATACCACATAATTTTACCTAAATGTGGAATCTAAAGAACAAAATAAACAACAATAATAACAAAAACAGAAACAAACTCATAGATATAGAAACTATTTTGAGGGTGACTAGACAGGGGGGATGGTGAAAATGGCAAAGGGATTAAGAAGTACAAATGAATAGATACAAAATAGTCATGGGGATATAAAGTGTTGCATACGGAATACAGTAAAAAATGTTGTAAAAAATATGTAAGGAAGAAGAGGGGTACTAGATTTAGTGGGGTGACCACTTTGTGATTTATATAGATCTCTAATCAGTATGCTGTACAATTGAAACTAATATATTATTGTATGGTAACTATAATTGAAAAAAAAACCCATTGAATTATACAATGTAAATATGAACAACTAATTGTCTATTATATTTCAATAAAGCTGGGAAAAAAATGAGCTGTGAGAGGAGACATCCTTGTCTTGGATCTGATATTTGTTTGTAAAATTCCCCCTCATTTTCCTTTGCATGTCTATAGTATCCATAGTGATGTCGCCTCCTTCGGTTGCGATATTGATCATTTCTGTTTTCTCTGAATTTTTTTTTATCACTCTGACTAAAAGTTTACCAATTTCATTGATTTTTTTCAAAAAACTAGCCTTTACTGATTTTCCTTCTTGTTTTTCTGTTTTCAGTTTAATTGATTATGTTCTTTATTTCTTTACTTTGGGTTTAATTTTTTAGTTTCCTAAGGTGGAAGATTAGATCATTGATTTAAGATATTCAGTTTTTATTTTTTTATGGTGACATTGTTTTAAAAAATCCAATAAGTTTCAAGTATACATTCAACATTAATCATATAAATATAATGCAATGTGTTTATCATCTATAGCCTTTTCTAATATAAGCACTTACAGCTATAAATTTATCTCCAAGGACTTGTTTAGATGCATCCCACACATTTTGTTATGTGCATGTGAATTTTTATTCAACATAATTTCTAATTTCCCTTGGGACTTACTTACTCTTTGACTTATGGGCTATTTAGAAGTGTGTTGTTTAATTAAACATCTGGGGATTTCCAGGTATCTTTCTATTACTGATTTATAGTTTAATTTTATTATAGTCAGAGAACATAGTTCATATGATTTCACACCTTTTAAATTTGTTAAAATTTGTTTTATGGCCCAGAATAGTGTCTATTTTTGGTAAATATTCCAAGTGTACTTGAAAAAGATTTTGTGCTCTTTCCTCTCACAGTTGTGAGGGTCAGAAATTTCAATTCCCAATGGCTTGATAGGATAGAACCCAAATGAAGTAAATTCACTATATACACACATGTTCTAGAATGCATCAAAACTATTTAGTAAAGGATACACACATATTTATACTGCCCCAAATTAACCTGATATTCTAAATATTCAAAGTAAAGTATGTGAACCTTCTCATATTGACAAATACTAACAAAACTGGTAGACTAATTTGGCCATTTAATATAAAATGATAACAGCAGCTAACAATTACTATGTTTAAGTACTATAAATTTAATAAATATAGTTAAACTTCATAAAGGGAAGCCCAAGGAACCTCATGTTAATCTCACCTAATGCTTTATCTGCCTAGTAAGATATAAACTCAAATATACTTTCTTACCATAATATTGTAGTTGACATTAATGGTCTCATTTTCGGAGGCGGCATTCATTCGAAGAGGCTGGACATCATTCTTTCCTTTTCTTACAACATCATAGATGGGATTTCGGGGTTGCTGGTTTTGTAGAATTTTTTTCAGTTGCTTTTCCAAAAGTTGTGGAGCATTGTTAACTACTTCAAAAACTCCATAATCCGCATTAAATCTAATTGCCTCTGAAAAGGTCTGTGAAATAAATTGTGAAAATAGGTTTTTAAATTTTTAAAAGCCAGAAACTCATTGTCTCCAAAAAGACTTGATACTTATGTTTACGCACATACGTGCACACAAAGTTTTGTGGCTTTAATCATTACCTCTTCCTCTTCGGAGCTTGGAAATCTATTGACTATAGCTAAGAGAAGGCACTGAATCCCTCCTTCCCAGTATACTTATGCCATGAGATAAGTGTCAGGGTATATCACAGCAAAGATTTCCTTTGCATAAACATCTTACCTCTGTGCTTCTTTGGAACTGGAAAGAAATACACACCTGGTCTCTATGAAGCAATACTACTCTCTTTGAAGGGGGCGGATTGCTAGGGAAGAATTTTTTAAAGAAGAAATAACACTCCTATTATCTTTTTCATCCCCAGGAGCAATGAAAGCACTTATCCCTTGTCCAAAAGGAGAAAATTAAGTACAATGTGTTCTTCATTTAAGACTATTTCAACACCATTCCTCTCACTGTGACAAAAAATAAGTGAAAGATAACATTTCTGAGCTTTTCTCAGTAATTACTAAATGCTGCCAACTTTTATTTAAAGTCAGTCAGTTAATATACAACAGCCAGGAATCTTGAGTTTGTTAGCTTGCCAATAAGTAGCACTGTGACTTTGGGTAAATCTGGAGCATTGTTAACTACTTCAAAAACTCCATAATCTGGGGCCTCCATTTCCATAACAAGTAAAGGGTGAATTGGCTGTGCCTCTTCTAATTTTGCCCTCCAAATTTAGAATCAGGTCCCTTTCACAGAACATTAATTTATTTTAGGATACCTTCACTGAACTACCTATTCATGTAGATTAATTTACATATTTTTAGCTTGGTGGGGAAAAACATTAAACCCTTCCCCTTAAATCAGTCACTGTCCTAGGGACAGCATCAATTCTTTCAAGTTTTACTAAGGGATTACTAGATATACTATAGTTAAAATTTAATGAATGGCAGGATGTAGGAAAATTTGAGTTAGAAATATATGTGTGTGTATATATATATATGTATAAATGCCCACATGTGTGTATTCGTTTGTTTATTTAAATGTCAGATAATATCACATCTCTAAAGTCTGATTGTTTCTTCTTCTATGAAATTGAAAGTGCATGGACAATAGAGTTCAATACGAATGTCAGTTCACAGTTCAAAAAGCCTCAGGGCTAAGATTTCTCCTCAAAATTACAAGTATAGCTCAATGGATAAGTAATAATAATTAGCAGTAAATTGTGTATCAAGTTTCTTCAGTAAATATATTTCATTAGTTTCCCACTACATCTGTCTTTCAAACATGAGATTCAAACAAGTACCACTTACCTAAAAGTCAAATATTATCTCTGAATTATACTATCACTAGACTAAGCAAATAAAAGAGTCTGCTGATACCAGAGACAAGATTCATCTGATTGGAGAAAAAAACTGAATTAAACTGGGTAGAGAATAGACATCTAATATTAACTGGGGTAGGGAAAATGGAGCAGTATGATGTGAAAGACCATCTGGAAAAGATTTCTTTTATTTCTGAGAATCCATGGAACAAGAGAACAAACTTGATCTTTATTTATTCTTTTCCTTTCTTTTTTCTGCTTCCTACCCTCACACCTGGTAGCCAGAGGAACACAAAACTGTGATAATCAAAAGCAAAGAATGCCAATTAGTTCTGTGTACAAATAAAATATTTCCTGTTAATCAAGTAAAAAAAAAAATAGAGAGATTGTGATACTCTGAGACCTTCAGTAGCCAATCTTACTGAGTAGTAAATAGTTAAGGCACAGCTGGCAGAAATAACAGGAATGATAAGAACTATTGTTTACCGAACATCGACTGTGTGCCAAGCATGTGACAGACACTTTAAGTGCACTATCGTGAATCTTTACACATTCCTGAGATACCTCTTTAACAGGAAAAAAATGGATGCTCTGGATAGTTATGTGATAGGCCATGGGCTCAGAGCTATAAAGTGCTAGATCAAGGCTATAGAAACAAGTCTATCTGCTCCCAAAGAAAGCACATTTCCCCTCCTTTACTATATTGCCTCACATATGGTAAAACTAGCATATACTGACCACCTTTCTCTATGTCAGGCACTGTGCTAAGTAATCACTCCATGAAGTTAGTGGAGCAGGGTTCAAATCCAAGGTGTTATGATCTCAAAGTCTGTGCTCCGGTTTTACAAGTAAAGGCACAGAGACATGAAGCAGCGTGGTATATGTGGGTAATTTTAAGCAGTTTAATGCAGTTGGAATAGAACTAGAATAGTTTATAGGTGGAAGAGTTTAAGGAACAGAAAGACTTGATGTAAATGAAGTAGATAGGACCAGATCATGGAAGTTTTTGTATGCCATTTTAAAAAATAACATAGTCTGATGTGTTTTAGGAAGATTCTTCTAGCGGTCTGGAGTTTTGCTTGCTGTCTCATGAGCTGGCGAGACAGATGCTCCTATCCAAGCAGAGCCATCACCACGCTCTGGGGAGGCTGGCTGTTACCACAGAGTTACTGCTATCATAACCAGGTTTAGTGTGGTAATTATTAACTCTCTGGGTGGGTTGCCCTCACACATAGCGGCGGCGGCCAAGGCAGGTTTTAAGGCAGGTAGTTAGCAATTACTTTTGTTTTCAACCTACAAAGCAAAACTGCAGCTGAGAAAGGTTACATAATCTCTTCATGGCTTTACAGCAAGTCCCCTAATGAGCTTACTACAGAATCCTGGGTTCATGACTCCAAAACTGCTTTAATCTTAGGGTTGACACATAATTTCAGTAGTGCTTACAGTGATGCTGTAGACTGGTTCACTCAGGATTCATTCCAATCTCCTTAAATGCAAAATCTGGACAACTAAAAACTATGTTACCCACACTCCCTTGTAGCTATGGTTTCACGTGTGATTTAGGTTCTGCTACTCATATGCACTCACAAAAATACTTGAATTCTGATCCAAATTAAGTTGGAAAAAGAAGCAGAGAATATCCATTCTTGGAAAGAAAAGCTGAAGGATGTAAACATGAAAATGAAGAGAGGAACTCGTCAAAAGAAGTACTTTACAAAATAAGAAAAATAACAAAAGGAAAATTATAATTCTGTTTATGATAAAATGACATGAAATGTTGCTATTTATTAAAAAAAGAAATGTAGCTATATATAAAATATTTATAATTTTTAAACTTAAGAATTTATCTATTTGGAATTAAAATGGGATAGAGTCTTTGCCAGCAGTAAATAAGTGTTTTTCTATTCAAAAAGTCATGAGTTAGAGTAGATCTCCAAAGGTCCTTAATGGTACTATGATTTTTATTTTATAAAGGTGACAAAGAACTGATTCAAAGCTTTTTCCAGTTTACTTATTTCAACAACAAAACTTTTGAATGCTCAAGGGTCAGTTATTTTCTTAAGCAAAGATGATACAAGATGAATTAAACATTGTTTCTGCTCTTGAAGAAACAAGTATGTAGTCATTAATTTTACCTTCTGATGGAAAGTCAACAAAATACTGAAATAAGTTAAAATTAGTGTAATACGTAAATGTTAAAGGGGAAATTTGTCCACAAAGACCATAGTAGTAATACTAGAATATTATATCTTGTTTAGTTATTATACTTTAAAAGGGATTTGGTTCAACTATAATCTATCTAAAAAAGGATAAGCAGAATGATTAAATGGAGAAATATTGGGTAAATTACTTCACTTCTCTGAGATTTATCATACAAAGGGGTTTTAACTAAATAATCCCAAGGTACCTTTCATGTTTGATACTCCATCAGTCCATGATTGTCTCTCCAGGAAAAAAAGAGCCTCTATCTTCTGCTCTCTAATAAGATCACCCAACTCCACTGCTCTTTTGTTAATTCGTTTACTTATGATTAAGTATTTATTGAATCCTTATTAAATGAGATACTGTAATAGATGATATATTGCTACATTTAGTGAGCCAATCCAGATCATATGACCTCCACAAAGCTCCAACCGAAATGAATGAGACACGAATTCGGCCTCAGATGCTAATCTAACAGAAGAAGAAAGATATGTAAATACACAGAACCAGTACAAGGGGAATGGACCCTACAGTCAGCACATAAAATGAGATCATATTTAGTCAAAATTATCCCTTGAAATCCTTGAAAACACCCATAAAGTACACTATTGTCCTACCTCTCAAGAAGTTGATCACAGCCAGTGTTTCCTCTAGCATTGAAATGGGTCACTGATTCCACTGATTCTTCAGTTAGGGACTAGATGAAGTGGTGGGCAGTGCTTAAAGCTCATGTTATACAAAAATATGTATGTTTAACACTAGAATCACCCTCCATATAAGATAACTACATTGTGAGAGGCAAGAATATTGATCCCACCGAGGGAATGGCAGTCTCATCTCTCCAGGAGAACATGGAATGATATATGTGTGTTTATGGATTGGTACAACAGATGAAATTATCCTAACTCTTTATATCACTCTTGCTCTCTCTGCAAAGCACAAGTAATTCATTTTGAGTAATAATACATATATGTTGCAACTCTACTTAAACACATAATAGCTATAATAGAAGTATGTATAGAGTGATGACACACAAAAAAATTATCTCCAAGTAAGTAAGGAAGTTTTATAGAGAAAGTTGGGTCTTGAAGAATGAACAGGCATTCTCATGTAGTAGACAAGGAAGAGAATGGAATTCAGCAAAAGAAATAGCAAATTCATGAAGACATGGGAGCACAAAAGAATAGGGCACCTTTGATGAACTGCAAGCAGTTTGACATTGCTGAAATTTAAAATTCAAGGGGAGAGTAACAGCGTACAAACCTGTAGAGAGAGGCAGAGTTCATCAAGAGGACGACTTTCTATTATATGCTAAATTCTCAAGTTACCCTCTCAAATCAGTGGTTCTCAGAGTGTGGTACCTGAACCAGCATCGGCATCACCTGTGAACCCGTTAGAACTGCATTCTCAGGCCTCTCCCTATAAGCAGAAAAACTGAGGTGGGGCC